CTCCACAGGAGCAGGCCCTGAGCACCAGAGCCATAGAGGCCCAGCTTTACCACACCAGACAAGACCCAAGGTGTTGGTAGGTTGTGCGAAGAGGCACCCAAGACGATCCAACACATAACTGCAGGGTGTAAGATGCTGGCAGGGAAAGCCTACATGGAACGCCATAACCAGGTGGCTGGCATAGTCTACCAAAACATCTGTGCGGAGTATGGACTGGAAACACTAAGGTCAAAATGGGAAACACCTCCAAAGGTGGTGGAAAATGACCGAGCGAAGATCCTGTGGGACTTCCAGATACAGACTGACAAGATGGTAATGGCGAACCAACTGGACATCGTGATCATAGATAAAGGGCAGAGGAAAGCCGTTGTAGTGGATGTAGTGGTCCCAAGTGATGGAAACATCAGAATAGAAGGAACACGAGAAACTAAAGAAATACCAAGGGCTCAGAGAGGAGCTGGAGAGAGCCTGGAAGGTAAAGGTGACAATCGTGCCTGTGGTGATCGGAGCACTCGGGGCAGTGACCACCAAACTAGATGAGTTGTTGCAAACAGATCCCGAGAACAACATCAGACATCTCAGTCCAGAAAAGCGCAGTAGTGGGAACAGCAAGGATACTGCGCAGAACCCTCAAGCTTCCTGACCTCTGGTCGAGGACCCGAGCTGAATGGGGGACGACACCACCCGAGGGGTGAGACGAGGATTTTTTTTTGTAATTTTTTATAAAATGTATGTATGTATATACAGTGCCGTGAAAAAGTGTTTGCCCTCTTCCTGATTTCTCTATCGTTTGCATAGTTATCACACAAAGTTTTCAGTACATCAAACCAATTTTAAAATCACACAGTTAAATGCAAAATGCAATTTCTAAATGCCAATTTAATTTTGTGAGGCCCCTCCCAAAAATCCAAACCTCCTTGTCCCTGTGTGAAGTGACTGCCTTGCCGCATTAAACTCCCATTTAGGAGTAGGAAAAGTGCTGTTTATTTATGTGAAATAATTGGTTGTTTAGCATTGTTTGAAATCATGAAGTTTCACTGGTGGCCAGAAGTTTCCTTTTAATTCCTTTAGGTGCCGTACAAAACCTCTTACACCATGAAGAGATTGAAAATAAAAGCATGACGTCATGAGTCACACTTATCTGCCTGTATGTCAAGATTAATTTAGCATATATTCTAATCGCAAACATAAATCTATAGACAGATACACACAAATGTTCACTTTGTTGCCACTTTCAACCGGGCTAAGTATCTTAAACTGTTCATTTTGTCGTCTGTGAATCTGTTTCACCTTTTCCGAATCCTCTCGATATACACTATCAAATCACTGTCTAAACAGCCGTTATCCCTTTCCGTATTCCTTCAAAATCAGGCTTCCACCTAACAGGAAGTCAACACTAAAGGTCCAATATTGCAGAACATTTGGCACACATCAATAAACCCAAAGTCCTTCACAGGTTGATTAAATGTAAGTACAGTCATTAGAAATCATTTGAAAATGGGAATGAATCATTGTTTGATCAATTGAACAAAGTACTTTAAATAAACACTGACTTCTTTCTTTACCTCATATCCAAATGACCCATTTGTTCAAAAAATCAAATGTGGCCCTTGAGCACAAAATGTTGTTGTTGTCACCACTACCACATGAATAAATATACTGTACATACTGTGGCCCAAAGGTGTTTGAAAAGTAAAGTGAAGAGGATCTAATTGGAGCCAGAGAATTGAACTATTCTCCCAACATACTTGTCCCTGTTTGTCACTCAGCAACGGATGCGAGAATTACCATATTTTCACGACCATTCGGCGCACCGTATTGTTGGGTGCAGTCTCAGTAACGGGTGCTATTTCTGTATTTGACACATACACAAAACGCACTGTATTATTGGGCACAGCCAGGCATGGTAAAACATACGCCAGCTTAAACATACGGCATGCATGCACGCATGCTAAAAACACGTTAGCTTGAAGCATACGGTAGCATGCATGCACGCTAAAACATACCAGGTATGTTAGCTTAAAGCATACGGTAGCAGCTAAGACATACGGACACACGCTAAAAACAGGTTTTTAAAAAGGCAACGGAAGCAAAACTGAGTTCGGTTATACTTTATTTAGCCATTTTACAATGTACTCACGCGACTGGTACCTGCTTGGCCTTCACTCATTGGCGGACTTCCGCATGCCTGTCGTCACTCACGTCCGCCTTTTCTATGTATAAACAGCGTGTCGGCCAGAAGTGCTCTCAGTCAGGCTTTGTAACTCGGCGCATACACTCGACGCTCCGCATTATAAGGCGTCCTTGTCCATTTTGGAGAAAATTTAAGACTTTTAATGGCGCCTTTTAGTCGTGAAAATCCGGTAGTTGTTTGCTTTAAAACAAAACATTTTAGCAAGCATGCTTCTTCTTCTTCTTCTTCTTCTTCTTCTTCTTCTTCTTCTTCTTCTTTTCCTTTCTGCTTTTCCCTTCAGGGGTCGCCACATCGAATCAGTTGCCTCCATCTAACCCTGTTTTGTGCATCCTCTTCTTTCACACCACTGACCTTCATGTCCTCTTCCACTCCATCCATAAACCTCTTTGGTCTTCCCTTTGGCCTCCCGCCTGGCAGTTCGACTCAGGATCCTTCTCCCAATATATTCACTCTCTCTCCTCTGGACATGTCCAAACCATCTCAGTCTGGCCTCTCTGGCTTTCTCTCCAAAACCTCTGACATGCGTTGTCCCTCTGATGTACTAATTCCTGATCCTATCCAACCTGGTCACTCCCAAAGAAAACCTCAACATCTTCATCTCTGCTACCTCCAGCTCTGCCTCCTGTCTTTTCTTCAGTGGCACTGTCTCCAGTCCAAACAGCATGGCTGGTCTCACCACAGTTTTATACATCTTTCCTTTCATCTTAGGTGAAACTCTTCTATCACACATCACACCTGACACGTTTCTCCAGCCGTTCCAGCCTGCCTGTACATGCTTCTTCACCTCTTTTCCGCACTCTCCATTGCTCTGGATAGTTGACCCCAAGTACTTGAAATCCTCCACCTTCTTTATCCCTGTGACCTCACTCTTGTACTTGGGTCCCTCTCATTCACACACATGGACTCCGTCTTGCTGCAACTGACCTTCATTCCTCTCCTTTACAGGGCAAACCTCCACCTCTCTAGTTTCTCCTCCACCTGTTCCTTGCTCTCACTACAGATGACAGTGTCATCTGCAAACATGTGATCATCACATCTTTGATTACCTGGTGAAAGGAGTCTTTGAATCAGTCCTCTTTCATCTACAGTGTAATCGTAATTAGGAATGGAGAAAAAAAATGATTTTGTTAGTATTTTTGTTTGTTTTATCTCAGGTGTTCTGTCAAGTGCCGTATTTTCATGACTATAGGGCGCACTTAAAAGTCTAAAATACTCTCCAAAATGGAGGGGGGTGCCTAATAATGCGGGGCGCCTAATCTATGTACCGAGTTCCAAAATCTTTGAATGTTGCTGTGTGACTTCAATGAGCGCTCCGCTTGACTATCTGATGATATAGAGACACACTGTTTATATAGAGGAAAGGCGGACGTAACTGAGGATGGCATGTGGACATTAAAAGGGAAGGGTGGGTGTGAAGGACGACGCTAAAGGCATGTCCTCTAGTCGGTGGATATAATGCCGGTACATGCATTTGACAAAACAACATCACGAAAATGGTACCTATGAAGAGACACGCCTATGAAGCACAGTTCAAACTTCAAGCAATCAGTTCTGCAGAGGAACATGGCATTCGAGCAGCCGTGAGAGAATTTAGGATCAACGAATCCATGGTTCGCAAGTGGAGGAAGCAGGAGAACGAGCTTCGCCAAGTCAAAAAGACAAAGCTTAGTTTCCGTGGAAACAAGGCGAGGTGGCCCGAGTTGGAAGACCAACTCAAGTAGTGAATTCACGGTCAAAGAACAGCCAAGACAAGCGTCTCTACAGTCACCATTCGACTGAGGGCAAAAACCCTTGCAGAAGAAATGAAAACTGAACATTTTCAAAGAGGTCCATCTTGGTGCTTTTGGTTTTATGAAATGGCGCCAACTATCTATCATGGTGCAGCAACTTCCAGCGGACTACAAGGAAAAGCGGGCCACCTTCCACTCCTACTGATGTAAAAAGTTTGCCGAAAAACACATGCAGCCCAACCACATCATCAACATGGACGAGGTGGCGCTCACTTTTGACATCCCGGTGAACCACACTGTCGAAAAGAAGGGGATCAGCACCCTAGTGATATGCACAACGGACCATGAGAAGTCGGCTTTTACTGTTGTGCTTGGTTGCCATAGAAATGTACAGAAACTGCCACCCATGGTGATTTTTAAGAGAAAGACTGAACTGAAAGAAAAGTTTTCAACTAGTGTTCGTGAAGGCAAATCAAAAAGGCTGCTATGGATGAGGAGAAAATGAGAGTGGCTGAGTGAGGGGTATGCGAAGAGTTTGGATGATTTTTTTTCCACGCCTTACCCTCCCTGCTTATATATGACTCCATGCGTGCACATCTCATGGGCGCTGTGAAAAAACATGTGCAGCAAATGAACCCAGAGCTTGCCATCATTCCGGGAGGCTTGACAAAGGAAGGCCAACCGCTGGACATCAGCATAAACAAGGGTGTAAAGTGAAGTTGTGGGAGTGAGATGAATAACAGATGGCAAACACAGCTTTTCCAAAAACTGGAAGGCAGCGCCGGGCGAGTTACTCCACAACTTGTGAATGGATTGTATTATACATTTTCATATGATGCGTCCTATGGTCGTGTAAATATGGTCCTTTGTTACAGCTGCAACTTTTGTAAAAGTGCAATGTAAATAGAGTTGAGTCGAGTTGCATTTGTTGGTTTTTTTTTTTCTTCCAGGAGCACATCGCCAAGCAGTTCGGCCTGATGCAGGGTCAAATCGGCTATGACATCCTGGCAGAGGACACTATCACTGCGTTACTGCACAACAATCGCAAGCTGCTAGAGAAGCACATCACCAAGACCGAAGTGGAGACCTTCGTCAGCCTAGTCCGCAAGAACCGCGAGCCCCGGTAGGCATGGCGCGGTGGCACAGTAGTATTGGGGGATGTTAGCGAGTGAGACAGCATGGTTGCACTTACTCTCTCTTCAGCTTTCTGGACTACTTGTCGGACTTGTGTGTCTCCAACAACGTGGCCATTCCCGTTACTCAGGAACTCATCTGCAAGTGTGTGCTGGAGCCCATAAACCAGGACATCCTCATCAAGACTGAGTGAGTGTGGTGAGCTGTGGGGAATGTCGCATGAGAAAGATGGTTCTTGCCTCTGTTTCTACAAAATGGCTGCATCCATACTAATAACCACACTGGATTTGATTATTGCAATGATGTTACCTCATTGAATCCGAACCATAGTCACTGGAGCAAACCCCGCAATACCAGCCGTTCTACTCGATTTTGACTGATCTTGCAACCCACAGGTGTTCTATTTCAATATCAACATGCAGCCTAGCAAAACAAAGGCAAGCCTGTCGTCTTTCTGCTTAAAAAAAGGTGGTGACTATCTTTTTCCATTCTTTAGCAATCAGCATTAGAAAATAGCTCAGTTTCATCAGATTTTTAGTTTCTGAGGAAATCAAATGGAAAAAAAGACCTTTTTGTACAAGCAGGCATTCCAATCATCATTTCTAGTATGGCACTACTACTTTTTGCTTTTTTGACATCTCAAACATCTAAATAGGACTCTCCTTCTACTAAACAAAATAAGCAACACCACAAAAATATTGATCAGCACTTAATTGAACTGATGGAATGAACTATGAACAGAAGTGAAACAATGAGTTCAGCGAGTGTATGCACGCATATGTTGGCAGGTGTAAGTGCACGCGCACCTGTGCATTGATCTCTTATCTTTAATTCTGTTGTACTAAAACTTTGTGGTTGTCTTTAGAACAATGTCTTGACATGTACTCCAAATCATTTTGTGGTAAATCGCGAGTGGATGCCATACATGCAAAAAAATATATATATTGCAAATGGTTTGGAATGTGTCATTCGCTTGACATTTGAAACAGATGAGTAAGTTACAGTGAAACTCCTCTAGAACGAAACCTACATGGGCGAAAATACCCCCTAATGTGAAAAAAACTTAATGTATTAACACCATTCCCATTCTCCTGCCCCCCACACGAAAAAAACCCTGTTGCATTATACGAAATCATTTTCTCTGCTCTTGCCTCACGAAGAGATTCACTACAACAAAGTCTGATCCAACAGCGACCTCTACTGCTTCGTTCAGAAACGGCAACAGAAATCACCACACTGGTTTACATAGTGAACGGTGTTTATTTCAATCACAGCTCCGAGTTTCCGGAACGCAACAAACTCATCGCTGCTCTGCCATTGGCTTACCGAGCATCATCCTGGCCTCCGATTGGCCAAGAGGGACCTTACTGTCTATGTGTGTAGATACTGTCGCTAGATCCGTGGAAGATAGAGTGGAGTGCATCCGATTAGCTGCTCAGAGTAAATTGCTAATGGCTCGACAGACAGTCAAATAAACGAACGTTTCCTGGAATGCTTTACTTGTTATCATGCTAAAAACCTTACGCTAACTGGAGCGCTAATTAGAGAAAAGGCGAGTTCCATCACGCTAACTATGGCCATTGAGGACTACGAAGCGTCCCGTGGCTGGCTGAAAAGTTCATTGCATGACATCAGCTGAGCAGCGCTGTCTTGGGTGGCGATCGAGGGGAGGTCGCGTTAGAGACAGTGAGATAGTGGAAAGAAAAGCCACCGGTTCCAGGAAGTATCTGTTATTGTTAGATTCAGATGCAGCATGAACGTTGCATTGTGAAAATGGCTACAAAACGGACGTTTGGATGTCAAGCAGCTAAGACAAGAAGCGGTCTGACGCTGGAAGAGAGGGTAAAAGTGATCAAAATGAAAGACGGAGGAAGGAAAATAAAAGACATTATCCAAGAAATTGATGTAAGTGAAAGTTAATGCTGATCGTAAATTTCGCAATTTCATTCCCTTGTGTGTGTGTGTGTGTGTGTGTGTGTGTGTGCGCGCTTACATCTGAGATCAAATTTGCTACAGTGAATAACCCCCTATTGTGAAATATTTCTTGCTGCAAACATGATTTCATTGTAGAGCAGTGTTGTGTCCAAGGACCGGCAACCCGAGGCCAAGGCCAAGGCCAAGGACTTGAGTCCGAGGCCAAGGCCAAGGCCAAGGACTTGGAAAATTTTCCTCGGCAAGGCCAAGGCCAAGGACTTTGGAAATTTTCCGAGGCCAAGGCCAAGGACCAAGGACTGATTTTGAAGCCGAGGCCTAGCCGAGGACATGTATAAAACAATGCTATCATACCACTTGACAGGTCTTCATGATTTGCAACACCCCTCCATCATACCCCCTTGCACATGTCACTCCCTAACGCTTGAATGAAGTGTTTTTATTCAAAGATTAGAACAGTCAGGGTACGTGTTATTTATACTGAGAAAAAAAAATAAAATCATATGATATACATTTATGAATTAATGTTTTAGTGCAGTAGTTTCTTAATATGAAGTAAATCAACACTCAACAGGCATGACATGGCACGGAACACAAGTTGAGAAATGACTTTGCATAGAAGTCAATCACTGCCTGCAGAAAAAGCGGTAATCTCTCAGTGATAATTTTACAGTTTACCGGCAGCGAGTCCCAGGGACTCGCTGATCAGAAAAGTATGAGGCCCATTATGCATTTTGAGAGTCCCAAATTTCGAATTCTGTAACGGTCTATTTATTGAATTGTATATGATAATAAAACAAACAACAACATATACATACAATTATAAACAAATGCTGCAATAATTTAAATAATTCAGTAGCAGGCCTGAGGATTTCGGAAATTCAGGGTAACCGTTTTTTCGGTTCCGTCGGATTACCCAATGGGAAACCACGGGAACTAATGTTGGGTTCCGTAAACGTTCATCATGGGAACCC